TCCAGGTCAAGTTAGCCCGATCAAATCCAAATCTGTTGGAATTGTTCAAGAACTATACGTGGCCCTGCGACCGGCAACCATCCCCCACCCCGGCCTGGGGCCTCACATACTTCCAAGTCCTTTGGCAGGCATCCTACGTGCAGGCCCAAGCCCAGAGACCTGGGGGTCAGATGCCCCCGAATTTCGCTCGCCCTCAGCTATATGGCCGCAGGAACGAGCGAGGCAGGGGGTCCCCCATTTCCATCAAGTCGGCGTGTGGCCAATGTAGTACGCAGGTTTATTATTACCCTGAAATAGAATAGTTTTCTGATAGCATACTGTTAGGTTAACAATAATTTAGATTATTAAGAAGTATTAGCTTTACAGCTGAATACAAGGCATGACCTGTGGCCTAGCAATGCAGCTGACCACAAGGCAGAATGATAGCTAAGCCTTTGCTTGTGTCAAGTAATCATTTTAACTGTATTAAGCATTTTCTAAGTTAAAAGCAGCAAGTATCTCTGTGTCTGTGTGCTGAAAAATCAGCTACAGCAAGAAGTAAGATAAGACAGGGAAACCATTGTTCTGGGTGCACTGGTTGTGTCCTTGAGAAGTATCTACTACTGTGTAAGGTTTTGCTAACATATTATAATGTTACTGTTACTTAACTTTTAGCTTTTAAAAAGTGCTAGTTCAGCTTAATAGAAATATGCTGTTACAAAGATTTATAAAGCACCGCCCAAGTATTGCTTTTTTTGTTAACCATGAAGTCTTGCCTTGTTGTAATAAGTATAAAAGATCACCTCACCCTTGGTGGGGGGGCATTTTGCCTTTTGCTGGCTTTATGGTCTTTGCTCAAGCAAATAAACAGCTGTCTTTCTTCACCCGCGTTGTCTGTCAATCAAATTACAGCTAGACAACGAACCTTAGGGAGGTTTCTCCCACCACACCAAGACCCTGCCACCATGGGCAAAGTCTCTGGGGACGAGGAGCTCATCCTGGGGACGGACCCGGGGGCGCAGCTGTGTCTTGGGGTGTCCTGCGGGGCAAGGGGGCCTTCACGAAGGAGGCTGGAAGGAGCACAGCCCCCGCCACAGCTACCCCCTCCAGGCCTCCACGCACCTGCCCCTGCCCCGCGCCCGC